CGCAAAACATGGACTTCGGTGTGAGCTTTTTGCAACGTTAGCCCGGCCCGCTCCCCTCCCACACTTTCTTTTTTGCATTGCGCTCGGCACTGAAGCAAGAGCGAAGTGCAGCGGCACCTCGCCGCGCGGACTGCCCCCGGCGCCCAAGAGCGAGGTGCAGCGGCACCTCGCCGCGCGGACTGCCACCGTCGCCCCAGCAGGGGCAGGCAGAAAAAGAGGGTGGGAGGGTGGGACAAGCGGCCCCCCCTGATCCGACATTGCTGCAGCGGCACAAAGAGGGGAAGGAGAAGCAAAGGGGGAGAGGACAGAACATGCATGGGGCAAGCAGTGCTAACATTGCTTCACCTTCGCGAATCAGCGTTAGCCCGCTCCCCTCCCACTCTTTCTTTTTTGCATAGCGCACGGCGCTGAAGCAAGAGCGAGGTGCAGCGGCACCTCGCCGCGCGGACTGCCACTGGCGCCCAATGCCAATGTAAAGGGCGGTGGCAAGGACACGCAAAGACCAATTCTCCGGGCCGCTGTCGTCAATGACGCCCTGCGCGAGCAGGCCCGCTGCCACCTCATCGCCCGACACATACGGCCGCGCGGAGGCGAGGGAACGCCACCCACCACGCGACAGCATGGCCTCAACGCCGGACGCTGCAAAAACATCCTTGGCGGCGCCACGCCGGATGTCAATGGCGGCCAAGTGTTCGAGAAATTCGCGAGTCCACGACGCTGGGGTGAACCCGCCCAACGGCGGACCGGCACTCGCCCGGGCCTGCTCGTCCAGCAGAGGCAGCCACGTGTGCAGACATAGCGCCTCGTCCGTATTGCAGAGGCAAAAGGCAAATGCAGTGCAAAAGTCTTGGCGCTGCTTGCGCCGAATGGGACCGTAAAGGAAACGATTGCCTGCCACCTGTAGCAGACCCCGCCGATACTGGCGGAACAGCTCCGACGGCATACGCAACAAGAAGTTGTACGCCAGCACAGCTATGAGGCACCACCACACCCGACCTTGCGGAAAGGCGTGCCGCAACAAGGCCTTCATCAACGCTTTGTCCACGCGTTGCCTGGGCTGGCGGGGCGTCCTGCCTTTCACGGTGCCCAGATTGACCCCTCGCAAGATGGCATCGCGGTCGCCCTGCCAAGGCACGCCTGCCACCTGGTGCGCCATGGCCCAAGCGCTCAGCCACCCGCGCTGCGTGGCAGCACACGCGCACACGGCCGCGACCTTACGTATGTGCTGCACACTGCACCCCAGCGGGGGCTCACCGAAGAGCTCAGACGCCCACGCAATCATACGCAAATGCGATGCGTACGTCGAGAGCGTGGACGGCACCGTTTTGCACAGGAACCGGTTTTCGACCACTGTGTCCGCTATGTGAGCGCGGGCCTCGACCATGGCCTCCAGCACCTCGCGCGGAGGCGCGCCATCCGGGTGCCTTGCAGAACACCCTCTGTCCCGGCTCAACGCGGTCATCATGTCGGCATTCCCCACGGAGTAATAATTGGGTAGTGGTGGCGGCCCGCAAAACATGGATTTCTGTGTGAGCTTTTTGCAACGTTTGGTGGCTCGCATGTCGCCAAGCACTTCGGGCCCTTGGAGAAGCATTGGTTGTGCACCCGCCGCCGCCCCCCTCCGGATCTGATTTTTCGCTGGGGCCGAACCACATCAACTAGGCCATTATGTATGAATTTGTGAGCTCCCACAAAGAATGGAACAACATCAGTACCCCCAGGCTGGTCTTCAATTGAAAAATGTTGGCGGGTGGCCGCGCACCAAGCCGCTCGAAACCAGAAGGAGACTTAACCCTGGGGCTACAACATCTACTCGCAGCTCTTGCTTATTTGCTGTTCTTCCAATATGCTCAGCACCAACCAACGCAGTAGTCCCCATTCGTGCCACATCGGCGCATGCCAACCGTCACGGCCAGTGAAAATACACTGAGAGGTTGTTCTGTGCAGCTGCCACCACCTCCTCGAAATTGAAGTTGCGCTGGGGCCACTGGAACCCGCACCACAAGTGAGTTCAGCATCCGCACCAAATTTCGCAACATCCCGGCACCGAACGCTGAAAACATACGTATATGTTATGTGTGGGCGGCTATGTCAGGATGGGTGATTTGCCAACTGCCAAATCTCTTGAGACGTACGACAT